AATATCCTATCTCCCCTCTCTCTCTCTCCCTCTCTCCCCTCTCTTATCATTTCCTCCTTCCTCTTCCTATGAAAAATCTCTCTTTCTCTCTCCCCTCTCTCTCTCCTCTTTTTCCCCTCTCTCTATCCCTTTCTCCTCTCTCTATCCTCTCCCCTCATCCCCTTTATCCCAATCTCCCTCTCTCTCTCTCCTCTCTCTCCCCACTCTCTCTCTCCTCTTTCTCCCTCTCTCTCTCTATCCTCTCTCTCCCCTCTCCCTCTCTATCCTCTCTCCCCCCTCTCTCTCTATCCTCTCTCCCCCTCTTCCTCTCTATCCTATCGCCACCTCTATCTCTCTTTATCCTTCTCTCTCCGAATCGATTTTTAATTTCATTGGTATAGCGTAATGTCGGACCGAGACTTTCTTTCTTGTTCTTTGTTTGTTTATCTATTTACAGAGGATTCTTATTATATATCATTCCAACTTCAGAGATAGTATCAGATTGCAGACTGGCGAATAATGTATCAGAAGGTTACTTTATCGATAGGGCTAATGATGTTGGTGTTCTTAGACATTCATCCACAACAAATTAAGAAACATTGAAGAATATTTAAGGCAAATTATTCAAGAGAAATCAAAGTGAAAACAACTTACTTAAAAGGTTTAACAATAACATTGATTTATATAGAATAAACATACACAATTGAATCAGAGATTGTGGAACAAGTGTGAATGGTTGAATTGAATTATGTAGTGTATTTATGCCAAGTTTCAGTGCGTGTGAAACTGTTACTAAGGCTTGTGTGTGAAATTAAACTAAGTGTCTGATCGTGTACAAAAATGTCTTTTGTGGTAGTTTAGTCAATAGTTTGTATGTGTATGCTTGTTTAAATTATTGTCCGATGCTGGTATGAGTTGGGTATCTTTAGTTGTTTTGGTGTTTGGTTGAATGTTTACGATTATTTATTATTGTAGTGTGTTATTTCACTTTCTTTAGTATCGTAAGCAATTGTTCCTGGTAGAGTGAAATGCTGTTTGTTGAGTCAGAGAAGTTTGCGCGGGAAAAGTGTAGTTGGTTAAAGTTTTGACGTGGATTAGTATGGCATTTCTGAAACTCCGACGACATTTATTGTACAGATTACAATTATGGCACGAAGCCGAAAAGGGGGAGGAGTTGAGGCTGGTCGTCACTAACTATCCTATACCTAGCTAAACCGATTCACGACCCATTCACTCATTAAAATTTGCACATTCACCACAAAAACTCATCCATCATCAATCAATCCTCCATACACCATAACACCGCATCCTCTCAAGGGGGGACCTACAAAACGCTCCCCATGCCATAAAAATATAATGATAATATATGTACAATTAAAAATTTACGGATGAATGAAATGAAAGTGGGGGGGTGAACCCAGTAAGAAACTAAAACGATACACAAAAGTAACAAAACATAACTGATGTTATTAGGGCCCGTCGAACCCTCAAAAATGAGAGGCCGCTGTATTCTGCCCATTTGGACAAAATCAAAAGGCTCTCTCGCTAAGGGAGAGGGAAAAGAGAAAATATAGACGGGTATGGGGAATCAATAATGCTGACCCAGTTTAGATGGAAGGGGGCCAAAACAAACTGGGGAGGTTGGGAATCTCAACTTGGATCATAACAAAAGATGTAGCCGGAACAACATTTACTCACATTAACTAGGTACACAAAAGCTTGTCAATCCTAAGCAGGGGGAGGGCTCCACACGAAACCACCCCGATGTGACATAGGTTTGACCTAAAAGAGAAAATCAATGCTAGCCCTGTTCAAACGAACCAAGCTCGCCTCAGTCACCCACCTTTCGCTGAAGACTTGTCGAATGCAAGCGTTTTCTATCAGTTCTAATCTTCATCTTGAGCTGATGTTCAAAGAATCGGATCAGATCCTAATGAGAAAGACGGATGCTCCGCAAGACTTCCTCTTGTCGCGTCGTCCAAATCATCACTCGGGCCGTGGCCAGCAGCGTCAAAAACATCTTCCGTTTCACCCCGGAATACGGGAGCGACACATTGTCAAACGCGTATGCACAATCAATGGCCACGAGCTCTTTGGGAGCGAGACGAGCCGTCAGCTCGCCGACATAGTCCCATAAGGGGCGGGCCCGGGGACAATGGTAGAAGGCGTGCGAAGCCGTTTCTTCTAAACCAAGGCCACACCATTCACAGTCTGGCAAATCCGCCAAGTCGCTGAGAGATGGCATATTCCGAACCAGTCGCCAGGTAAACGAAAACTCAGGGTTACTGAGATAATCCGCCGCTGGCGCCCAAGACCAGTAAGAGCGAAACTCCTCCTCCGAGAAGTCGAGCTCCTCACGTAGGGAATCCTTGGTGACTCCCTCCACTAGAAGACGATAGAATACCTTCCTAGGCCGAGAAAGGTCACTGGACCGAGGAACAGCCAACAAGGCCGACCGACCATCGCGAAGGAAATCCGATTGATCCCTGGGTTTGTGATGGCGCTCAACCCGCGAGATGTGGGGACTGAAAAAAAGGGAAAGAGTCCCTTACAATCCCCGCCATAATCGAATCTCCTGTCAATGCGCGGCGTAGGAAAGCCAACTTTGAGGCGAGTTTGTGGCTCGCCAAGTGTGGCATTCCCAGCCCCCCATGACACGGACGTTGTGCACAGTCTCGTCTGTCGACCCGATTCCCGCGTTCTCGCCATAAAATGGAGGATAGCGAACGCCCGAGCGCCTTCTTATGGCCCTTACAGAGAGGAAGTACGGACAATCGATAAAAGACAAGAGGGAAAATGTATGTAGCACACACCTCCGCCCTGCCCTTCACGGACAACCTCCGTCGACGCCAAGTCTGACCGGCAGCATCGACCTTTTCTCGTACTTCAGACCAATTTTTCTCCAGCTAGAGGTCGGGTCCAAACCACACTCCAAGAATGCGGACAGGAACGTCCGTCCAACCAAAGGACCTCGGAAGATTGACCCCATTCCAGGCATCTAGCCACAAGCCGGACGACTTGTCGCGGTTAATCTTGGCCCCTGTCACCTTTTCGTACCGATCAAGCGCCTTCAGTAGAGCCTCAATGTTAGGTGCGAAAAGATATTTTCGCTTAAATTTGCTACAGTTTTAGAGGTTTGAGCCAATGAAAAGTCTAGTTTGCTGGAACTAGGATGTTGATTGGTTAATAGGTGATTACTGGTGTAGAGTGTATTATCCCGGAGGGGTGAAAGGTTGGTATGGACTATTCCATCAGTATCAGATCATAACTGACAGATGTTGTAAAATGAAAATTAATTTGAGCATTAATTTAGAGTTATCTCCCCTGTATGATTTTTCATGTTTCAAATTTGAACAACGATTCTTTTTTTAATTTTAAGACAAATAATTAAAGAGAGTAAAGATATTTTTTTAGAAAAATATCAATATTTCATTCTTTCGTCATTAATGCTTGTTTTTTTTATTATCGATTTTTCATTTTATAATTCTGAGTATCTTCTTCTTTTCTTCTTCTTTTTCTTCTTCGTTTCTTCTTCTTCTTCTTCTATGTGCCGTGTACCTTCAGGACGTGGGCGATCATGGATCTCCACAATTTCCCATTTTTATAGCTCTTATATTTCTCTAATCTGTCAATCACTTCTACCAGCTCATTAGGCAGGAGCAATCCTCTACTTTTTTTTCAGCCCCCCCCCCCACGCCTTCTTTATAACCTGTGAGTATCATATTTTCTAAGCTCTCTTTCCTCATTATCTGCCCTAGAAATTTCAACTGGTTTTCTGATTCTGAGTACGAGCGACGTTTTCATTTCCATTTTCCCCGTCATTGCTCATATGTTCAGTCCGTGGTATTCTCAACACCCTTCTGTAGAACCACATTTCTTTTGCTTCTAATCTTTTCTTCATTTGTGATGAGCTTGTCAAGTATTCACCGCTATATAGAAGAACCAATATTACATAACAGTTCAGCACTCTTTTCTTTGTTTCTAATGAAATTTTTATGTTTCTTAATACTTAACTAGGCTTTTACAAGGCATCTTTCTCGGATTTCAGTGTCAGAATTTCCGTAGTCTGATAAAACAATTCCTAGATATTTCAAGATTTTGTACTTCCTTCATTTTGGTGTTTCCAATTTGTAATTTGTATCTTGGACTGTTCCTATTGCTGATAGTCATACATTTTCTCTTCTTACAACTGATGTTTTGTCCTTTCTTAAGGCTTACCTTTTCTACTTCCTGTAAGAGTTTCTGTAGTTTTTTTTCTGTCTTTCTTGCCATATGTATATCTGATGTTTTTAAGATTGCGTCCGCGAATAAGAAATCCTGGATTTCTAATTCTCTCAGTATTGCTTCCCTACAAAGGTTGAATAAGTCAGGTGAGGAAATACATCATTGCTCCTTTCTATTTTTGTGTATTTAGGTCTGCTGCTAAGAAAGTTGGTTCACTGTGTCATGCGAGACAGTTTTTCTCTCCAGAATCTAGCTTACATATCTATAAATCGGCAGACTTCTAGATATATAAACAATATTAATGGTCATCATCTGGCGGCTCGGCTTCAATCACTTTCCTAGCACCGTAAGGTTGCCTCTCTGTGTCTTGTTTATAAATATTTCATGGTAATTGTTCGGATGGTACATAGACTTTTTAAATTTAAGCGCTGTACTAGACTGGCGTCGAGATCTCATCAATTTACAGTTGAGCTGGCGAGATGTAGCCGTACATTCTATGCTAACAGTTTCTTTTCTCGCTTGTGGAACTTCATTCCAGCTCCATGCTTTCCAGCCAAATTTAATCTGCAAATACCCTTGGGAAAGGTGTGAATCCTATTCTTCGCCCTCCAGCTATGGGTTAAATAGCAGGACAGACTGGGTTTTATAGCCTTGGATGGCAACTGGTCTAGGAGAAGGACAACTCTGAATTCAAAACCTGAGGGGGGTTGTTTGGGGACTTTGTGGCACGCAGTGCACCAGGTCTCTGTATTCGGCCCTTTAAAAAGTGTGGATGGTCCTGCACGAAACCTTCGCCCCTATAATCGAATCTCATGTGCCGGTGTCGGGCTGTCAGTTTCCTGGAAACTGATCTGCTTGACCCTCATACGTCGAACCCGACGGGAGAATCGATTTATATAGATAGATAGATAGATAGATAGATAGATAGATAGATAGATATGAGCAGACTGAGATAGATAGATAGATAGATAGATAGATAGATAGATAATTATACAGGGTGTTTGAAAGCGTAACACTATGGAACTTTTTTCTTTGGGATTGATTAAAGGAGAAAGTCTGCTATGCTAACGCAAGACTTTGGAATAATTTGATAGGGCAAATACAAGGTTATGTCTTCTATACCACAAGAATTCCGGATGGAATCATTTGACGTAATTCCTGGGCGGCTCGAGAAGATGGTAACGAAATCTGCTGCTCTTATGGAATTTTAAACAAAGCCTCATGCTAAATGTTTTCCTCTCGTATCCATTTATCGTAAAAATTATAGTTAATAGATAAATTTTTTAGATAATATTTTAAAATGAGGAGTTACTTCTTTAATCACCCTGTAAGATAGATAGATAGATAGATAGATAGATAGAGAGATAGATAGATAGATATGAATAGACAAAGATAATTATAAGAATTAGATAGATAGTTAGATAGATAGATAGATAGATAGCTAGATAGATAGATAGATAGATAGATAGATAGATACAAAAACACTGAAATAGATACAAACACCAAGATAGATAGATAGATAGATACAAATCAGGAGATATCAAAATCAAACAGGTGCGTAAATTTAAATATTTGAGAAATGCTTTAAGAGCGGACGGAAATGAGTAACACTGAGATCCGAAGGCGTATTGGGATGGCCAATGATGCCTTCCAAAAGCCAAGCAGAGTAGTAAGAAATAGAAAAACTTCGCTAGAAACAAGGAAAAGAGTACTGAACTGTGACGTGATATCTGTCCTCCTGCATGGTAGTGAGTGCTGGACAATCTGAAGATGAAGAAGAGACTTGAAGCAACAGAAATGTGGTTCTACAGAAGGATGCTGAGGATACCATACACCGAACATGTGAGCAACGACGAAGTTTTTAAAAAAAAGGAAACAAAAAGTAAACTTTTACTTAACATCAGAAACAGATTGTTGAGATGTCTAAGTTACATAATGAGGAAAGAGGGCTTGGAAAATATGATACTCACAAGACAGAATGAAGGAAAGAGAAACTGAGAAAAACAATGCATAACATCCTTAGTGAGTAAGTAGCTGGCAGAACAGGGTTTAGAACAAATAACTGAAAGACAAAATTTATTAAGATTTACAAGGAAAAGGAAGTTATAAAGAGCCATGATCGCATCCGTCCTGCGGGGAGGGGAGGCACAGCACATAAAGAAAAAGAATTCGTTGTTAAGTGAGAGATATTGATCCTAGCATTGTAGTTTTATCTCTTTAAGCTTGTGTCTGTGTGTTTGTTAGTGGCAAAAGTCGCAGCACTGAAAGTGGGGGACGATTCAGAAGAGACCTCTACTGTCTTCTTCTGTCTGTTATTGCGACCCTGTCTTGCTGGTGTAGCAATATGACTCAGTTATTTTGTTAAATTGAAAAACAGCGGGACCTGTCGCACAACTCGATACGGAACATTTACTTTCGACCAATGACTATCAGTAATTGGAGTCACCTTCAAAGTACAAGAGCAAGAGGCTCAGACTGAGAGAAAGTGATGGAAGGAAGATTAATTACAGTTTTAGACGAAGATGACAAGACAAAGAAAACTGTTGTCTATAAAACTGACCATCACACGCAAAGGAAAACAGAAGGAACGAAGTGGGCATGACAGAACGAACATAGAGGACGGTCGCTGAACTGCGCACCCACCTCACTTGCACCTCAACCCTAATTCGCTTGCTTATAGCTGTAAGTTACTATCTAAGAATAAAATCTGGTTTACTGCTAGAAATAGTTATTTCTTTTCTCGTAGGTAACGATCTTATTTAGGGGTAATTTTTAAGCCACAAGCGTTTGACTGAAAGAAACTGCACCCTGTGAGCGAACCTGATGTATGGTCTGAACTGCAACACACTACTATCTGTCACCATCTCGTTTATATAATGAGGTTTGTGAACCCCTGACATTGATTTATTTCAATGTTTTTCGATAAGATATTTATGAGCTTCCTTTTCCGATAATATATGACACTCATTAGAATGCAGTCGGGCCCAGCCAGTGGTCTGACATATTTTAACAATGTGAACAGTTGAGGATTAATAGTAAGTCATATAAACTTAACAGGAATTTTTCCTTGAATTTCAGAAGGCCATAAATCTTTATTATATTGCCACCCCAGTACAAAAACTAAAAGAGAGTGTGACCCATGTAAAGATAAAAAAAAATAATAACTCCGGTGGAAAAAGTAGTGCTGAGAAAGTTATTAAGACAGGTTGGATAAATAGAGAATGATCGCCTGCTGTTGAGAAAGTTATTAAGACATTTTGGATAAATAGAGAATGATCGCCTGCTGTTGAGAAAGTTATTAAGACATTTTGGATAAATAGAGAATGATCGCCTGCCGTTGAGAAAGTTATTAAGACAGGTTGGATAAATAGAGAATGATCGCCTGCTGTTGAGAAAGTTATTAATAGAGAATGATCGCCTGCTGTTGAGAAAGTTAAGGGATAATTAGAGAAGGCCTGCTGTTGAGAAAGTTATTGGATAAATAGAGAATGATCGCCTGCTGTTGAGAAAGTTATTAAGACAGGTTGGATAAATAGAGAATGATCGCCTGCTGTTGAGAAAGTTATTGAGCCAGGTTGGATAAATGGAGAATGATCGCCTGCTGTTGAGAAAGTTATTAAGACAGGTTGGATAAAGAGAGAATGATCGCCTGCTGATGATAAATATAGACCCCAATAGATAAATGTAGTAATAATTGCTAGAGGCACAGAGAGAGAGGAAGGGACATACAAACCCCAATAAAGTCCGTCTCATAGAATTGCTCAAAGCAGTGAGAGAGGAAGTGAAGAGAGTCAGGTTAGATAGAAAATAAGTTGCCGTCTGATGGTTATGACAATTTTAGAAAAAAAACGCCTTGGAGAAATTTTACTTGAAGTAATTTGTAGGGTTTTGAATCTTTTAAAATTCTATGTTAAAATTCTATTGACTTGTTGGATAGATCCGAACTCAACGTCGCTGATAAAATCGATAATAGTCGTGGACCACCCCGAAGCTGGGTGTCGACAGGTGATTTGAGGCCGCCGTTGGTGGTTGGCCATAGAGTGTCGAGATGATGTAACGTTAGCCTGTAAAGTTGCCACGGTGTGAGGTGTTTTAAGACACACAAAAAAAGAAAATGCTGGGGAATGGCTACCAGTAGGTCCGTCCAGTGGGACGTGGAAATATTGGTTTTGAAGAAGTAGCAATCGAGGAAGATTGTGGGAACATATATGAGATATATTTTGGTAATAGTGACTTATTACTAATGAAGCAGATTGTTTGGCTCTGGTGAATGAGCCATGAAGTTTAAAGTGACAGAGGGTGATGGAGACGATTTACAGTGCACATTTCAGGGAAGATTGTCCGGGATCATATTGATAGTTAACGATGCTAATAAGAAATAAGGCAAATACAGCCCTGGCGAAGAGGAAGACTCTGAACAGGAAGAAGAGGGAAAAATAAGCCAACAGCAAGTAGAAGGAAGTTAAAGCAAAAGGGACCGCAAATGAATCAGCAGAAAGCAAACGAACCATGTAAGGAAATCTGGGATTCTGATTCGAAACCTCCCGAAGAGTAAAGGATGAGCTAAATGATTGGGAAGACAGGGATGAGATACATGTCCCCCAACTCCAGAAATAATCCAGGGAAGAAAACAGGACAAAGTTAACTCAAAACTTTGTCCTGTTTTTTTCCTCTGAATTGTTTCTGGAGTTACCAATTAAGCAGAGAGTGAGAAGGACTGGAAACTCTGGATTCCAATAAAGAGAAATGAAGGTGAAAAACGATGGGATTGATGGGTTTGAAGTCAGTGCACAACGACATTGGGTTCATTAGGAAAGGCCCATTCACTAATTAACAGTAAAATGACGGAGGTGTGGATATCGCGTCATGAGGGGTAAACAAATTTACTTATTAATATTGTTGTTGGTCTGCACAAGGCTCCGTATATGTCCGGCAGTGGTTTCGGTGAGACACGATCTTTGGGCGAAAGTATTGCATACCTGTCTGAAAGCAATCAGACCAGTTGGAAGTTGATCAGCAACAAGAATGAACTGAGAACAAAAAATACAAAGAAGAAGAAGTTTAATACAAAGACTGCAAAGAATACAGAAGAAGGAAAAGAATGTGGCTGGTATGAAGAGGCTGATACCATTGAGGATGACAGCGGATGGTATGAAGGTGGCATTAGGGGTCGCCCTTGATAAACCAATGTTAGAACTGGTAGACACTGACATAAAGTTACTCTCTACGAAGGCGATGTCTGGTAGAGGTAGACAGGTGAGAGAGAGAGGATGAATAAAGGGAGAAAAATAGTAGAGAAAATCCTTGAAGTTACATTAAAAAAATAAGAACATTAAATTAAAACATAAGATGCCGAATTTACTAAGGCATGTAGAGGAAATTAGTCTTGAACAATTGAAAGAAAAATTGAGTTCCATGGGAAAGGGGAATGCAATAAACAGAGATAATGCTCAGATCATAATGAACTAGTCGGCCATGGTAGGTATCTTAATAGTTATTGCTGCCGTAACGACAGCAATATGGAAGCTGGTTAAGCATAGGCAGGAATCAAGGTATTGGCGATTTGAATCGAAAAGGGGATGCCAATTAGTGTTCTTTACCCGAACGAATCGAATCTAAGCGAGGAATAGACCGAATAGAATGCCCCAGAAAAACAGGAAGCAGAATCAGCATCTGTGAAAAGGAAGCCAAAATCCCTACTATGGAAAGAGAGAGGTCGACCAAGAAAACAAACTATAAAAAAACGGTCAAGGGATTAATTTGTAAGGGATGATGCGAACCCCAAGGTAAATATGCATGCTCATAGACGGGTACATAAGATGAACACATTTTTTAAATACACTGCATGTTTAGTGGAGAAAAAATGATGCATGAAATAACTTTTTGTTGTTTATATTATTTTTTTCTTTTTTGTGTGTGTAATTTACAAGTAAATGAGAGGAATGGGGAAACGGAGGAATGTGAACGATGTACAAGAGGCCTCTACTGTCTACTCACAAGACAGAATGAATAAAAGAGAAACTGGGGAAAACAATGCATAACATAGTGAGTAAATGGATGGCAGAACAGGGTTTAGAAGAACTAACTGAAAGACAAAATTTATTAAAATTTACAAGGAAAAGGAAGTTATAAAGAGCCATGATCGCATCCGTCCTGCGGGGAGGGGGGGGGCACAGCACATAAAGAAAAAGAATTCGTAGTTAAGTGATAGATATTGATTCCATCATTGTAGTTTTGTCTCTTTAAGCTTGTGTCTGTGTGTTTGTTAGTGGCAAAAGTCGCAGCACTGAAAGTGGGGGACGATTTAGAAGAGACCTCTATTGTCTTCTTGTGTTTGTTATTGCGACCCTGTCTGGCTGATGTAGCAATATGACTCAGCTATTTTGTTAAAATCGATAAACTCGATACGGAACATTTACTTTCGACCAATGACTATCAGTAATTGGAGTCAACTTCAAAGTACAAGAGCAAGAGGCTCAGACTGAGAGAAAGTGACGGAAGGAAGATTAATTACTTTTTTAGACGAAGATGACAAGACAAAGAAAATTGTTGTCTATAAAACTGACCATCACCCGCAAAGGAAAACAGAAGGAACGAAGTGTGCTTCGTAGAACGAACATAGACGACGGCCGCTGAACTGCGCACCCCCTCACTTGCACTTCAAGAATAGAGGGGGAAAAGGATTCATGAAAGAATTTTTTGTTGTTTATACTATTTTTTTTTTTGTGTGTGTGTGTGTAATTTACAAGTAAATGTGAGGAATAGGGTAAAGGAGGAATGTGACACTATTTAAATTTCGTTGGACGGAATATGACATCGAATTAAGAAAAGAGTTCATGTGAGAACCCCGCATAGAATTGGAGCATTAGAAGGGCTGCAATGTGGAAATTATTGAAGTGAAAACATCGGGAAAATGATGATAAAGCTTGATTTCCCTGACAGCAGAGAATATTATTTTAAAACTAAAAATATAAAACAATGCGATTTGAAATCGGTTGTTTTGAAAAATGAGATTTCATATTTATTTGTTAAACCGTTTAGCAGGTTTGAAATTGGTTTTGGTTTCATAAGAACAGCGGATAGTCGCAGACAATATTTGGATCGTTTGGAAATGTAAACAATTGGTGATTGTTTTGAAAATGGAAAAAAAAAATTGTCGAGTCAAAGAATTTATTTTTTGGAGAAAGGGAAGGATTTCTAAAAACAGAGTGAATTCTTTGCTGATGTAGAATAAATTTTTATATAGAAAAATTAATTCGTAAATAATAATTGTAGAGTAACAAAGGAATGTAAAAACAAAAGTTATATAGCTTTAATTAGTTGACCCATTATCGAGAATCAGGTGTTGTCAATCCAAAGTTGATGAAAATGAATATTAATGAATCTGGAGGCGTGGTCAGAGTTCTGCGAGATGCATATAAGCCGTACGCTACTTGAAGCATAGAGAGATTTGTAGCGTAGAGTTGGAGCAGTAGCAGTTGTGTAAGAAGCAACCCGAGAGCAATCGTGCCTGGCGATGGGCCAGAGACGCCAGAAGACTCCGGAAGTAGTCACGTGTCTTGCCGTCGAAGAGAATTGCCGAGCAGAGTATTGCTGACCTAGAGCCGAACAAGAGAATGGCTGACGTAGACAATTGATGACCTAAAGTCTCGACGACCTGACATCTCCCGTGAATGTTTAGTCCACTCCAAATGTAAAACAGAAGATCTCTTGTCACTAGATTCCACAAGAAGGTTTAATTTTGTGTAACAACCCTTATATAAAATCAATTGAAAATTAACCCAGCGACATTCTTCATGATTTATTATAATTTGCATTCTCACCAGCGGTGGTATCGTTGTCCTTTGGTTCTCATAACACGGATCCACCAACTCGATTCAGCGCTTAAATGCGGACGAAAGTTTGATCTTCACTACAATGGGATCAATCATAATGTGGGACAATGTAAATGAAGAAACGAAGAGATAGCCATCAGTTGACCGGGGCCAGTACTGACCAGCGTGGGAAAAGTCGGACTGACCGTGTTTTCCCATCATGCAGTAAAATGCTGATTCTATCTAATCATTCAGTAAAACCTTGAATCATAGTTACTAATTTGTTTCATCTAATCATGCAATGAAACGATGAACCAATGTTACCACACTGCTATAAGATAATGATTAATGTTGGACTTTTATCAATACAGGTATTTCTTTTGTCGCATATAAGTAGAATTTTACTTTTTTTTTTCAATCATTAAAGTGTGTGTGCGTATGTGCGTGTGTAAAGACCAACGGAAAATTTTACTGTTTAAAATTTTTTTCAGTCTTTCTACAGAAACGCACCTCTCCAAGAAATAATCATTTGTTAATTATTTTCTCATATATTACTCTCGATTAAATACTCCAGATCTTGACTATCAAAAAAGATCTAAATTTTAAGATGGTGTTCAGTTTGCTACGCAAATTCATTGTAAATTGTGAAGTAAAAAAAAAGATAAGGTGAAATAAGTAATAATAATAATAATATTAATAATAAAGGAAAAATATGTGTAAAAATTTTCTTTAAATTCAAATTTCGCCGCTCTTTTGAAATTTTGATTGCAACCATTTTTTAAACACAGCAGAGATAAAAATAAGAACACATATGCATTAAATACCTTAATTCCCCATGTATAATATCCCTTCATCCATAATACGCACACCTAAAATTGTGCTGAATGTGTGGGAAAATACTTCTACTCATGCATAATACGCACCCCTTGCACGCAAGGGGCTACAGAGAGTGAGAGCAAGAGTAAAGAGGGGTGTTTAAGGAAAGGATATAAAGAAGGACGGGGATCCGGATCTAGGCGTCAGAAAATGTCGATTGACATTATATTTGAATATTTGAAGATTATGTCTATCAGGGAAGCAAGTAAAAGGAAGAGAGTTCCACTGTCGAGAAGTGTGAGATAAGAAGCTGTTGGAGTAGAAGAAGCGGTTACATTTAACTGTTTCAACAGGGAAAGGGTGGGACCCAATCTAGTAGCACGCTTAAATTCATGCAGTCGGGGTACCAGTGAATGTAGCTCCTCAGTGCAGTTGCCATGAAAATATTTGTAGAAAAGATAGAGGGAAGCCACAGCACGTCTGAGAGAAAGTGACTGGAGTTGAGATGCCAGATCAGAACCTATCATATTGCATATCTGTCTCTAGATTTTGTTCAGTACCTCGAGACGAACAGCGGGGGCACCAGACCATATATGGCAACAGTATTCCATGCATGGACAAATGGTAGATTTGTACTCAGGATGGACTCAGACGAAAAACACCTTCTGGTACGACACTGAGAACCAGTTTAGCCACAGTAATAATTGCTGATGCTTTTTGTCATTGTCGTTTGTCTCTTAGCCATTCAATACAACCAATTTCGACATTTCTGCTACCACTCTGGCACAAATATCTCCAGTTATTTCTACCCAGAGTAACTCGCTCAAAGGTAGTATGAGGCACAGTGACAGCTGAGAAGTTTACTTTTTAGCTTATCTTTATACCTGAGCCATAGCTGACCAACAGTCCTGTGTCCACTGTCAAGCTATATATAGTCTGGTAAATTCAGTCTCGAAAGTTTCAATTCCACCAAGTTGCACAAGATTAGGCACCTTAGTCAAGTTTACACAATAATGCAATTGGTAATACGGTTAGTAGATCCAGAAACGGTTGAGCAATAATAATATATATATTCTGGTAAATTAGTCTCGAAGTAGGCTTAGGTTACCTCACACCACACTATTACTCTACCTCCAACTCAATCACAATCACTGCTCTGACTATTCTGACTGACTCTAGGTATTTAACGGCAGCAGTCCGAGTACACACTGGTCGAGTCCACTTGTATGAAAAGGGTGGACCCCATAACAATATATATGTGGACATTGAAGTCAACATCCAGAGGCGACAGTCTGTTTCATTCTATATATTTACATACGCTCTATCCTTGATATTGAGCGCTTTTAAACGATAAAAATAGCATACCTTAAAACTATATTTCATCATATATATATATATATATATATATATATATATATATATTATATATATATATATATATATATATATATATATATATATATATATATATTAAACGTTTCACCCCAAACAAGGCGAGAAGCCACAAGGATGCAAGGGGTTACGGAAAATTTGGAGCAAAATCAGGTAGGGGTGATAGAAGAAAGGATGAGGAGAAGTATAGT